GTCTGGCGGGTGCGCAGCGGGTCACAGCCAGACAGCAGCCCCCACTACCAGACTGCTGCAGTGGGTAGAGGGTACAGGGAATGCTCAGGGCTGCTTCAGCAGTCCAGCTGGCACAAGGGGTAGTATCCCCAGGTACGAATTGGCTGGGCCGCAGAAGCTCCTGAGAGTGAGTAGCCCTGAGCTACTTGACAGGACAGGTTTTTGTACTGCTGGGGCCAGGACAGGGCAGCTTTTAATACTGCTGGGGACAGCACAAGTGCTGGCCCCGGGTTCCAGCTCCCCCTGGCTGCAGTTCTGGGAGGAGCCAGGCAGGGTTATTTTGCCCCAAGTAGCACAATTTGCTCCACAATCCCTGCCCCCCCAGTCCAGCATCCCCATAGTTTTAAAAAAACAAAACCCCAGCACTTACCGGCAGTTCAGCTGCCGTCTGTCTCACTGGGGCCCCGCCTGTACAGTGCGGGGCAGAGGGACAGCCCCAGCAGCCCCAGACTGGGCCCTCCTGCCCCCTGCTGCCCTGTGCTGCCCAGGGGGACTCTGTCAGGAGGCCCTGGAGCCCCCCTAGCCCTGCTTTTAGAGTAAGTAGAGGCTTTTTTCTCTGGTTTTTTTCTTCTTTTTTTCCTTTAAAGTGATGGTGCCTGGGGCTGGGGGAGTGGGGGTGGGGCAGCCATCTGGGGGGCTGCAGCAGCTGGGAGGGGATGGGACCAGGTGAGGCAACAATTGGGGGGGTTGAGGTGGGGCATATGGACAATGCAGGGGCGTGGTAGCCTCTGCAGGGACCATTTGTCCCCTGTTGGGGGGCCGTAGCCCCTGTTGGGGGGCCGTAGCCTTTGTGGGGGGGCTGAATCCCCTGTTGGGGAGCCGTAACCCCTATGTGGAGGCCATAGGCCCTGTGGGAGAGCAGCAAAATATATATTCATGTATTCATGAATTCATGAAAAATGTATTTAGAGTTCACTTTATTATTATGATAAGAGACATGCTTTAACACTAGATATATCAATAAAACGTCCAACTGATCACTGTTTCTCTCTCTCTCTCTCTTTATAGTGGTCTTTTGTTTTACTTGTGGAGGAACATGGATTTTGTGGTACTTTACGGAGTGACTTTGGGATTTTTTTATCAGGGATTTTTCAGTTTTCCAATAGGGAACACCAGAATTCCTGCTAGGGAGGCCAGTGGCAGG